ATTGGTGGATAAAAGGTTGATGGGTAGGCTCCAGGATGTACATGTTTATAGAGGGGCAACTGATATATTGGATCATTATTTAGTTGTAGCTACAGTTAGAGTAAGAGGTAGATGGGAAAAGAGGAAGGTGGCAACAACAAGTAAGAGGGAGGTGAAAAGTGTATAAACTAAGGGAGGAGGAAGTTCGGGCGAGATATAAGGGGACTATTGGCAGAAAGGTGGGCTAGTGCAAAGATGAGTAGTGGGGGGGGGGGTTGAAGAGGGTTGGAATAGTTTTAAAAATGCAGTATTACAATGTGGGGCAGAAGCTTGTGGTTATAGGAGGGTGGGGGCAGGAGGAAAGAGGAGTGACTGGTGGAATGATGAAGTAAAGGGTGTGATACAAGAGAAAAAGGTAGCTTATGAGAGGTTTTTACAAAGCAGAAGTGTTATAAGAAGAGCAGAGTATATGGAGAGTAAAAGAAAGGTGAAGAGAGTGGTGAGAGAGTGCAAAAGGAGAGCAGATGACAGAGTGGGAGAGGCACTGTCAAGAAATTTTAATGAAAATAAGAAAAAATTTTGGAGTGAGTTAAACAAGTTAAGAAAGCCTAGGGAAAGTATGGATTTGTCAGTTAAAAACAGAAGGGGAGTTAGTAGATGGGGAGAGGGAGGTATTAGGTAGATGGCGAGAATATTTTGAGGAACTTTTAAATGTTGAGGAAGAAAGGGAGGCGGTAATTTCATGCACTGGCCAGGGAGGTATACCATCTTTTTTGGAGTGAAGAAGAGCAGAATGTAAGTGTGGTGGAGGTACGTGAGGCATTACGTAGAATGAAAGGGGGTAAAGCAGCTGGAACTGATGGGATCATGACAGAAATGTTAAAAGCAGGGGGGGATATAGTGTTGGAGTGGTTGGTACTTTTGTTTAATAAATGTATGAAAGAGGGGAAGGTACCTAGGGATTGGCGGAGAGCATGTATAATTCCTTTATATAAAGGGAAAGGGGACAAAAGAGATTGTAAAAATTACAGAGGAATAAGTTTACCGAGTATACCAGGAAAAGTATACGGTAGGGTTATAACTGAAAGAATTAGAGGTAAGACAGAATGTAGGATTGCGGATGAGCAGGGAGGCTTCAGAGTGGGTAGGGGATGTGTAGATCAAGTGTTTACATTGAAGCACATATGTGAACAGTATTTAGATAAAGGTAGGGAAGTTTTTATTGCATTTATGGATTTAGAAAAGGCATATGATAGAGTGGATAGAGGAGCAATGTGGCAGATGTTGCAAGTATATGGAATAAGTGGTAAGTTACTAAATGCTGTTAAGAGTTTTTATGAGGATAGTGAGGCTAAGGTTAGGGTGTGTAGAAGAGAGGGAGAATACTTCCCGGTAAAAGTAGGTCTTAGACAGGGATGTGTATTGTCACCATGGTTGTTTAATAAATTTATAGATGGGGTTGTAAAAGAAGTAAATGCTAGGGTGTTCAGGAGAGGGGTGGGATTAAATTATGGGGAATCAAATTCAAAATGGGAATTGACAGTTACTTTTTGCTGATGATACTGTGCTTATGGGAGATTCTAAAGAAAAATTGCAAAGGTTAGTGGATGAATTTGGGAATGTGTGTAAAGGTAGAAAGTTGAAAGTGAACATAGAAAAGAGTAAGATGATGAGGGTATCAAATGATTTAGATAAAGAAAAAAATTTGGGTATCAAATTGGGGAGGAGGAGTATGGAAGAAGTGAATGTTTTCAGATACTTGGGAGTTGACGTGTCGGCGGATGGATTTATGAAGGATGAGGTTAATCATAGAATTGATGAGGGAAAAAAGGTGAGTGGTGCGTTGAGGTATATGTGGAGTCAAAAAACGCTATCTATGGAGGCAAAGAAGGGAATGTATGAAAGTATAGTGGTACCAACACTCTTATATGGATGTGAAGCTTGGGTGGTAAATGCAGCAGCGAGGAGATGGTTGGAGGCAGTGGAGATGTCCTGTCTAAGGGCAATGTGTGGTGTAAATATTATGCAGAAAATTCGGAGTGTGGAAATTAGGAGAAGGTGTGGAGTTAATAAAAGCATTAGTCAGAGGGCAGAAGAGGGGTTGTTGAGGTGGTTTGGTCATTTAGAGAGAATGGATCAAAGTAGAATGACATGGAAAGCATATAAATCTATAGGGGAAGGAAGGAGGGGTAGGGGTCGTCCTCGAAAGGGTTGGAGAGAGGGGGTAAGGGAGGTTTTGTGGGCGAGGGGCTTAGACTTCCAGCAAGCGTGCGTGAGCGTGTTAGATAGGAGTGAATGGAGACGAATGATACTTGGGACCTGACGATTTGTTGGAGTGTGAGCAGGGTAATATTTAGTGAAGGGATTCAGGGAAACCGGTTATTTTCATATAGTCGGACTTGAATCCTGGAAATGGGAGGTACAATGCCTGCACTTTAAAGGAGGGGTTTGGGATATTGGCAGTTTGGAGGGATATGTTGTGTATCTTTATAAGTATATGCTTCTAAACTGTTGTATTCTGAGCACCTCTGCAAAAACAGTGATAATGTGTGAGTGTGGTGAAAGTGTTGAATGATGATGAAAGCATTTTCTTTTTGGGGATTTTCTTTCTTTTTTGGGTCACCCTGCCTTGGTGGGAGACGGCCGACTTGTTGAAAAAAAAAAAAAATTCAGGAAAACCGGTTATTTTTATATAGCAGGGCTTGAGTACTGGAAATGGGAAGTACAATGCCTGCACTTTAAAGGAGGAGTTTGGGATATTGGCAGTTTGGAGGGATATGTTGTGTATCTTTATATGTATGTGTATATGCTGCTAAATTGCTGTGTTCTGGGCACCTCTGCAAAAACAGTGATTATGTGTGAGTAAGGTGAAAGTGTTGAATGATGAAAGTATTTTCTTTTTGGAGATTTTCTTTCTTCTTGGGTCACCCTGCCTCACTTGGAGATGGCCAACTTGTTAAAAAAAAAAAAACTATAGTTTTATATACAGTGGACCCTCGACCAACGATATTAATCCGTTCCTGAGAGCTCATTGTTAGTCGAAATTATCGTTAGTCGAGTTAATTTTCCCCATAAGGAATAATGGAAATCAAATTAATCCGTTCCTGACACCCCAAAGTATTGGAAAAAAAATTTTACCACATGAAATATTAATTTTAATACACACAAACTGAAGAAGACATGTACAATTACATGACACTTACCTTTATTGAAGATCTGGTGATGATTGATGGGATGGGAGGAGGGGAGAGTGTGGATGGTGTTAGTGTTTAGAAGGGGAATCCCCTTCCATTAGGACTTGAGGTGTCAAGTCCTTGAGGACATTGTTTTTCCTGAACACTCTGGGAGTTTCAGAGTGATACACCAATAAAGGCTTCACTTTGCAATCACCACTAGCATTAGCACACATCAACAGAGTAAGCCTGTCTTTCATAGGCTAATGTCCTGGGAGTGCCTTTTCCTCCTGAGTAATGTAAGTTCTGCTTGGCATTTTCTTCCAAAACAGGCCTGTTTCATCACAATTAAACACTTGTTCAGGTTTCAATTCTTCACTGTATGTACTCCTTGAATTCCTGCACATATTTTTCAGCTGCTTTTTGGTCCAAACTGGCAGCCTCACCATGCCTAATCACACTATGTATGCCACTACGATTCTTAAATCTCTCAAACCAACCTTTGCTGGCCTTAAATTCACTCACATCACCACTAGTTGCAGGCATTTTTCTAATTAAATCCTCATGCAACTTCCTAGCCTTTTCACATATGATCGCTTGAGAGATGCTATCTCCTGCTATCTGTTTTTCGTTTATCCACACCAATAACAGTCTCTCAACATCTTCTATCACTTGCGATCTTAGTTTCGAAAACATAGTTGCACCTTTGGCAAGACCAGCTTCCTTGATTGCCGTTTTCTTGGCCACAATAATAGCGATGGTTGATTGGGGTTTTGTGTACAACCTGGCCAGCTCGGAGACATGCACTCCTCTTCCATACTTAGCAATGATCTATTTCTTCATATCCATAGTAATTCTCGCCCTGTAGGGTTGGCGCTAGAAGCTTTCTTGGGGCCCATGGCGACTTATTTTGCAGGTGCAATCACTAAAAACGCTGTGATAATATGAAATGTTCCGATTGTATGTTTGGATGTGACCGCGGTGGCTGGCTGGCTTGTAAACACTGGCGCGGTCAAGCTACAAGTGGATGCGTCTCGAACGGAACGAATCGTGTTGGTCAAGTTTTTTAGCGCTAGTCGAGGCAAAATTTTTGCGTTAAAATGTATCGCTAGTCGGATTTAACGTTAGACGATGCCATCGTTGGTCGAGGGTCCACTGTATAGACTAGGGCATACGAAAATCGAGGTTCCACTGTGACTAAATTTCACTAATTAATAATGCTTTTATTAAATTAAAAAACATTTACTATATTTTTTCTGAAATACAGTAATTGTTTATTTTCTACAAGGGGCACTCATCGAGGATACAGCAGTCCATCTGCTGCAAGTAGGTCCTTCTGTGATAATGTAAATCAAGTTATTAGCTATTATTCTCACTTACCTTGTGGTGTAATTCCACATCAGTTATTCTTGTTTAAAGTAGTATATATTGTCTTACAATCGTGCAATTATGGTTGAGGGTAAAATAGAAAACAACTGGAGCTTCACACTACTGGTTGCCACTCATGGATCCACAGGCAACTCTGTAGAACCTCTTAATAAAAATTTTCCTAAGGTAGTGTGACAGCTAATGCAATTATGTCAATGATAAGTTGGATACAGATAATGATTTCTTTTTCTATTCTAGAAGCAAATTTTGAAAAAAAAAAAATATCCACGTAATTTAAGCCAAAAGAAATACTGATTTATTAGTCCTGGATCATGCAAAGGAAACCAGGCTCCTAAGGAAAACCTCACTTAAACCCTCCACCCACAGAGAGGTGACCTAGCATCAAGGGATGGGGGAAGGGGGAGGGAAATTTATGTAATACAGTAGTATGTTACAATGCAATTCTTTATGACTTCTTACCAAAATATCCCCTTCCTGGGGGATGTCAACAATTTTGTACTTTTCCTCCGCATTGTGTCGTATAGTACCATCTGAACATAAAACCCATGAATGAGCATCTTCTCCCAAGGGAACTTTGTTTAAGTTGGTGTTGCGCATTGCAATCCCCACACCCCATATACCTGCAAATATTGTAACAAATATAAGAAGATATAAACAATATTACTCATCCTTTCAACCATCTGCCCAAGCAATCATCTCTATTTGCACAAAATACTCATTTACTGAGAGAGAAATACTATAGTTAAGTTCTGCCTTCTCTAGCAGTAAAAAATGCAAGCAGGTCTTTCTAGTACCAAATCCTTTCTATTTCTTTAAAAGTAAGATTCTTTGCAACAATTTCACATAATGCCTGGTACTAAATTGAAAAAATAAGAAAAACCACTAACCTGACTGCTGCAGTTTAACCTCAAAATAGGCTTTGTTTTGTAGAATTGGAATGTTACCAAGTGCACCACCACTACCACAAATTCGTATTCCATTTTTCACAATTACTACTTCATGACCTGAAATGAAATAGGATTATAAGGCCTCACAATCATAATAATAATATCTATTTCTACAAGTACATGTACAAGGTATACAGGCCTAGCTGATACCAGTTTACATGGAGTTTACCTGGAGAGAGTTCCGGGGGTCAACGCCCCCGCAGCCCGGTCTGTGACCAGCACTCATGGTGGATCAGAGCCTGATCGACCAGGCTGTTACTGCTGGCTGCACGCGATCCAACATATGAGCCACAGCCTGGCTGGTCGGGTACCGACTTTAGGTACTTGTCCAGCGCCTGCTTGAAGACAGCCAGGGGTCTATTGGTAATCCCCTTATGTATGCTGGGAGGCAGTTGAACAGTCTCGTGCCCCTGACACTTACTGTGTTGTCTCTTAACGTGCTAGTGGCACCCCTGCTTTTCATTGGGGGATGTTGCATCGTCTGCAGAGTCTTTTGCTTTTGTAGCGAGTGATTTTCGTGTGCAAGTTCGGTACTAGTCCCTCTAGGATTTTCCAGGTGTATATAATCATGTATCTCTCCTGCCTGTGTTCCAGGGAGTACAGGTTCAGGAACTTCAAGCCCTCCCAGTAACTGAGGTGTTTTATCTCCGTTATGCATGCCGTGAAGGTTCTCTGCATTTTCTAGGTCAGCAATTTCACCTGCCTTGAAAGGTGCTGTTAGTATGCAGCAATATTCCAGCCTAGATAGAACAAGTGACTAGAAGAATGTCATCATGGGCTTGGCATCCCTAGTTTTGAAGGTTCTCACTATCCATCCTGTCATTTTTCTAGCAGATGTGATTGATACAATGTTATGGTCCTTGAAAGTGCGATCCTCCAACACGATTACTCCCAGGTCTTTGATGGTAGTTTTTCGCTCTATTCTGTGGCTGGAATTTGTATTATACTCTGATGAAGTTTTTATTTCTTCATGTTTACCATATCAGGGTAATTGAAATTTCTCATCATTGAACTTCATATTGTTTTCTGCAGCCCACTGAAAGATTTGTTTGATGTCCACCTGGAGCCTTGCAGTGTCTGCAATGGAAGACATTATCATGCAAATTCGGGCGTCATCTGCAAAGGAAGACACGGTGCTGTGGCTGACATCCTTGTCTATGTCAGATATGAGGACGAGAAACAAGATGGGAGAGAGTATTGTGCCTTGTGGAACAGAGCTTTTCACCGTAGCCGCCTCAGACTTTACTCTGTTGACTACTACTTTGTGTTCTGTTTGTGAGGAAATTATAGATCCATCTACCAACTTTTCCTGTTATTCCTTTAGCATGCATTTTGTGCGCTATTACGCCATGGTCACACTTGTCGAAGGCTTTTGCAAAGTCTGTGTATATTACATCTGTATTCTTTTTGTCTTCTGGTGTATCTAGGACCTTGTCATAGTGATCCAGTAGAAAGTCCCTTGTTATGCAGAGCATTTTGGGCAAACTAGGTCAATTTTGTCCCAGGACAAAAATCAAGTGAAAATGAAAAATGCAAATGTTTATTTCCTTGCAAAGCTTACATTGTGTGGTTTACAAACTATAAAATATTAATTACAAAGAAGGCCTCTTGCATGCCTAGGCATTTCGGACAGACTAATCCTAATTCTTACTCTACATTGACATTTTATGGAGCAGTACATTTTAATGTACCTTATTGTATACTAGGTAATTGAAGTGATTTATTAGATTTATAATAATGAGGTAGTACAAAACATATAACAATATTACAATTAGTACTTTTAGTAATAGAAATGGTTAAGTCTTGGCATTATACACTGTTTCTATTAAAGCTCTTGTATTGGGAGAGTATCTTAGGCCCACACCAGTCTACTAACACCCAGATTCATGAAATTGTAATAACACTATTTCAAACAAACCATACCATGGGCAGGGTTTGAACTCGTGGTTAAAGAGTCATAGAACTCCAGACCAGTGGTTAACGTGTCGTCTGGAGTTTTATGACTAATCGCAAGTTCAAGCCCCACCCGTGGTATGGTTTACTAACACCCAGGTACCCATTTTACTGATGGGTGAACAGGGACAGCAAGTGTCTTATGGAAACATATCCAAATGTTTTACAGCCATACTGGGGGATTGATTGATCCCCAGACCTCAGTGTGTGAGCCAAGTGCTCTAGCAATCAAGCTACGGGACACCATATCACTAATAAACCCTGCCCTCCCAGGCAATACAAAATACTGTACTGTACAGTTCAAAGAAACTTGAATAATTTAGAGATACTACTATAAGTGTACTGATATACTCCTATGCTAATGTGACAAGAAATGTGCCAGATGAAGCAAGCCTAAAATATCTACAGACAGATTTTTCGCATACTGTACAGTACTTATAATGCTAGTTGTCTGTTTTTCACATGCTTCTAATAATGACTTTAAAATGTGACTATTCTCATAGATGGTCAGAAACTTGTTCAAATGAATTATGATTTTTTGCCACCCTGTGGCCTTTTCACTTGCAAGCTGTAAATATTTTTTTTAGAAAATATAATTATACACACAATGTGTTAGGTTTTAAAAGGTTAGGTTGCATTAGGTGAAGTGACACGAAGCATACCAGTTTGCTAATAGTTTATAAAACAATTATCCACAACCTTACTGCAGAAGTGGCAAGCATTAGTAGCATCTTCAGGTCACATCTGAAGAATCTGGGTTCTATCCCAGCACGAGGGAAAATCTTGAATATGTTTCCTGTACCTGTTGCCTTGTTTCACCTAGAAAAAAGTAGAAATCTGGGCCTGTAGCCAATTACTGTGGATAACATCATAGGGTGTAGGATCAAACAGTCCAGTGGAAATAAGCCAGACAGTGGCTTTACTGGGTTATTCTAGATTGGTAACCTTCTGGGAAAATAATCCAAATAAAATTTTCTAACAATGTCAAATAGTTACCTCCAGGTCCAGGTAATAGTAAGTTTAGATGAACTAATAACTAAAACATACAGTAGTCAAACACTCCTCAATTATTCATGAACGTGAATTGACAGTTCATGCCTGCAATATTCCTTCTCCAAGAATTCAGGAACTTGGCAATGACTGACAATTCTTGTGACTTAGGTACATCAAAAGTTGTTCTCTAGTGGACTTGTGTCTTAGATGCTAAAGCATTTGAGAGAACAAATGACTTGAAATTATTTACCATATTAATAAAAAATATGGTACAGTTGCAGGTTTTACTACTAAAAAAATATTACAGTTAGTAAGTTTATTTAGGCACAGGTACACATAAGTATAATTATCATATATAGTGTAAAATACTTAAGATAACCCAAAAAAGTCAGACAACTCTATTATATTAAACTTAGTATTGAAATAACCAAATTTCATCTATACAGTATCATTTATTCTGCCTGAAATGCGTAGTATAACCAGAGGAATACTCTAAAGTAAGAGGAGATAAAAATTTGTTCATATTTTTAACCTGGGGGGTTAGCCATCCAGGATAACCCAATAAAGTTAGTATATGGAAATAAATGGTATAAAATACCGACACAATGGAAATATAAACACTTATGTAGTATAATATGATCCTTTATTGACAGCGTTTCGCCCACATAGTGAGAGATAAGATAAGATTTCGTTCGGATTTTTAACCCCGGAGGGTTAGCCACCCAGGATAACCCAAGAAAGTCAGTGCGTCATCGAGGACTGTCTAACTTATTTCCATTGGGGTCCTTAATCTTGTCCCCCAGGATGCGACCCACACCAGTCGACTAACACCCAGGTACCTATTTGCTGCTGGGTGAACAGGACAACAGGTGTAAAGAAACGTGTCGAAATGTTTCCACCCACCGGGAATCAAACCCGGGCCCTTCGTCTGTGAAGCAGGAGCTTTAGCCACCAGGCCACCGGGCCACCTAGTGGGCTTTATCAAGTCATTTGTGACTTGATAAAGCCCACTGCATGGGCAAAATATTGCCAATAAAGGATCACATTATACTGCTTAAGTGTTTATATTTCCAAAGTCAGTAGTATATCATTGGGGGGACTGTCTTATTTCCAGTGGGGTCTAATCTTGTCCCCCCCCAGGATGCAACCCACAACGGTCAGCTAACACAGAGGTAGCAAGTGTAAAGACACATGCCCAGTGTAAATACCTTTGTAACTTGACATGATTGTGACCAGACCTACCTGGAGTTCATTACCTTTGTAAATTGTGAGTTCATTACCTTTGTAAATTGTGAGTTCATTACCTTTGTAAATTGTGAATTCATTACCTCTGTAACTTGCTCAGCTATCAAAACTTTGGGGTCCAGTCCCTGGACCAATTATGTACCTCTAATCTTTTGACTACCGCCCACAGGATGGGTATGGGGTGCATAATAAACATATTAAACTAACTAAACAATGTTTCACCCACATAGGGAAACAATCCCGGTCTCAGTGTGTGGACTGAGAATGCTACCAACCAAGCCAGAAACCTAATTTTGTAACAACTGTATACATACTTTCCGGTATAAAATTTATTTATTTGATGGTAACACTGGCAGACTATCACGTCCCTCTACCTACGATGAGACAAACTACCCACAACCCTGACAACAACAACACTCACTATTGCAACAACCCTGACAACAAGAACCACTATTGCAACAACCGTGACAACAACCAGAACCACTATTGCAACAACCGTGATAACCAGAACCACTAATGCAACAACCGTGATAACAAGAACCACTATTGCAACAACCGTGACAACAACCAGAACCACTATTGCAACAACCGTGATAACAAGAACCACTATGACAATACAACCTATCAACTGTGACACCAACACTCACTGTTGCAACAACTGTGACAACACCCATTATTGCAACAACTGTTACAACACCCATTATTGCAACTGTGACAACATTATTGCAACTGTGACAACATTATTGCAACTGTGACAACATTATTGCAACTGTGACAACATTATTGCAACAACTGTGACAACATTATTGCAACTGTAACAACAACATTACTGCAACAACTGTAACAACAACATTACTGCAACAACTGTAACAACAACATTACTGCAACAACTGTAACAACAACATTACTGCAACAACTGTAACAACAACATTACTGCAACAACTGTAACAACAACATTACTGCAACAACTGTGACAACATTACAACTGTAACATTATTGCAACTGACATTATTGCAACAACTGTGACAACATTATTGCAACAACTGTGACAACATTATTGCAACAACTGTAACATTACTGCAACAACTGACAACATTATTGCAACAAGTGTGAGAACATTACTGCAACAACTGTGACAACAACATTATTGCAACAACAGTACACATCAGTGTTACACGGTACCGTGTTAAGAAGGCACACTGGGGTGTGGGTTTCCTTCCAGCTGTGATACATACTCACCCATGTAGCCAGTGTCGAGTATTACAGTGGGTGTTGTCCTGGGGGGTAGACTGGGGCTGGGTGCTGTGCCACACAGGTGACGGAAACAGCACAGATACACAGCCATATTGCACAGCTGCTGCAACACTACCACTGCTGCTGCTGCTGCAACACTACCACTGCTGCTGCTGCTGCTGCAACACTACCACTGCTGCTGCTGCTGTAACACTACCACTGCTGCCACTTCCATCTGCCCTTTAAACACATACCTTCATCCTATTCGAGGCTTTTTGATTCAAGGATTTGGAGCAGCTCTCCCCTTGGTATCAAATTACCCCAATGGAAATAAGCTAAGGGCCCCAATGGAAGTAAATCACTTTATCTGACATTATTGGGGGGTTATCCTAAGTAATTTACAATATATATTATAATTGTACTGATGTGTATATGTCTAAATAAACTTATTTACTTTCGAGTTTAGCGCTGTTCATATATAGTTTTATTATAAGTTTCTTATCCCCTCAAGGAAGGTTCCTTGATGTTGGTGAGGGGCTCTTGATTTAGGGAATTGGATTTGTGCTCCAGTTCCCCGAATTAAGCCTGAATGCCTTCCACATCCTCCCCCCAGGCGCTGTATAATCCTCTGGGTTTAGCGCTTCCCCCTTGATTATAATAATAAGTTTCTTAGCCTCGAAAGTAAGTTTCTGTACCCTCCATGTATACTTAAATATTTACATTGGTCTTATAAGTTTATTTAAGTACACTTACACAAATTTAGGTGATTACAGTTATCATACATACTAATGTGTGTGAATTACCCACCAGGATAACCAAAAAAAAAGTCAAAGTACATTATTGTAATATTTAACGTAGGATAAGAACATAAGAAAGGAGGAACACTGCAGCAGGCCTGTTGGCCCATACTAGGCAGGTCCTTTACAATTCATCCCACTAACAAAACATTTGCCCAACCCAATTTTCAATGCCACCCAAGAAATAAGCTCTGATGTGAAAGTCCCACTCAAATCCAACCCCTCCCACTCATGTACTTATCCAACCTAAATTTGAAACTACCCAATGTCCTAGCCTCAATAACCCAACTAGGTAGACTGTTCCACTCATCAACTACCCTATTTCCAAACCAATACTTTCCTATGTCCTTTCTAAATCTAAACTTATCTAATTTAAATCCATTACTGCGGGTTCTCTCTTGAGAGAACATCCTCCAAGCCCTTTATTACTATCCCCTTTATTAATACCTATCTTCCACTTATACACTTCGATCAGGTCTCCCCTCATTCTTCGTCAAAACAAGTAAATGTATTTTAAAGGGAGTCTTCAATCTTTCTTCATAAGAAGATTTCTAATGCATGAAATTAATTTCCCCTCAAGGAAGGTTCCTTGATGTTGGTGAGGGCTCTTGATTAGGGAATTGGATCTGTGCTCCATTCCCCGAATTAAGCCTGAATGCCTTCCACATCCCCCCCCCAGGCGCTGTAAAAATCTTCCGGTTTTAGCGCTTCCCCCTTGATTATAAATAATAATATGTATTAATTTAGTCATCCTACGCTGAATGTTTTTCTAACGAATTTATGTCCATTCTGTAATATGGAGACCAGAACTGAGCTGCATAATCTAGGTGAGGCCTTACTAAGTAAGTAAGTAAGTAAATTTATTCAGGTATACACAATACAGTTACATAGAATTATCATACATACAGCATATGGGGTAGAGGGAAACCCAGGATAACCCAAAAAAGTCAGACAGAGTGACTTATTTCCATTGGGGTCCTTTTACCTTATTATTATAATATAAAGGTTATAATATTTTCTTATTATTCTATAATGAAGATAACATCTTATTATCATACTAAAAAGACTATCTACTACACGAGGGTCATTAAGACTATCTACAATACGAGGGTCATTAAGACTATCTACTACCCGAGGGTCATTTAAAACTATCTACAATACGAGGGTCATTACTAGGGATAAGGTAAAATTTACACGTATTTTAGCTAAAAAATAGAAAATCATTCCCCTCCCTTTCTGTTGCTTCATTCATCAGACACTTTTTGGCAGTCTTCTTGAACTGGTTCAAGCTATGACTGGCCTTGACATTTGTGGGTAGTCTGTTCCATTCCTTTATTGCTGTACAATAAAATAAAAGCTGCAGTATGACCTCTGGACTTCTGTTGCTTACACTTCTTGATATAAATCCCAGTAATCTATTTGCCTTATTACGTACGCTTAGGCATTGCTGTCTTGGTTTAAGGTTGCTGCTCACCATAACCCCCAAGTCCTTTTCGCAATCTGTATGGCTAAGTTCTACATCATTTAACTTATAAGTACTAGGGTTATGGGCACTCCCAAGCTTCAGAACCTTGCATTTATCTACATTGAACTGCATCTGCCACTTTTCTGACCAAGAATAGAGTTTGTTTAAATCCTCCTGAAGTTCCATAACATCTACGTTTGAATCAATTATCCTACGTATCTTTGTGTCATCGGCGAATTTGCTCATATCACTAGTAATTCCCTCATCAAGATCATTGATATATATTATAAACAACAACGGGCCCAAGACTGATCCCTGTGGAACCGCACTTGTTATGATCCCCACTCGGATTTAACCCCATTTATGGACACTCTGCTTCCTGTCAGTGAGCCATGACTCGATCCACGAGAGCACTTTTCCCCAATGCCATGAGCTGCTACTTTCTTCAACAGTCTTTGGTGCGGAACTCTATCAAATGCCTTACTAAAATCTAAGTAAATAATATCAAATTCTTTATCGTGGTCAACAGCCTCAAAAGCTTTACTGAAGAAAGTTAATAAATTAGTTAGACAAGACCGGCCTCTTGTGAATCCATGCTGAGTATCATTAATCAAGCTATGCTTATCGAGATGGCTTCTTATAATCTCAGCTATAATTGACTAGTAATTTGCCTACAATTGAGGTCAGGCTTATTGGGCGGTAATTTTGACGGTAACGACTTGTCCCCTGTTTTAAAAATAGGAATTACATTAGCCATCTTCCACATATCAGACACTACCCCTGTTGAAGAGATAAATTAAAAATATTAGTTAATGGTTCACAGAGTTCCATTTTGCATTCCTTAAGAACCTTGAAAAAACCTCATCAGGACCCGGCGACTTATTTTGCTTCAGTCTGTCTATCTGCTTCACAACCATTTCACTAGTGACTGTGATGTTACATAATATATCTTCTTCTAGCCCACTATAAAAATTAATTACTGGAATATTGTTAGTGTCTTCCTGTGTAAAATTGAGAGAAAATAATTATTAAAATCGAGCACATTTCATTCTCTTCGTCAGTAAGGTGCCCATAGTTATTTTTAAGGGGACCTATCTTATCTCTTACTTTTGTTCTATAGACCTGGAAAAAACTTTTTGGGTTAGTTTTAGAATCCCTAGCAACTTTAATTTCATAGCCCCTTTTAGCTTTTCTTATCCCCTTTTTAATGTCCCTCTTAATGTTTAATATACTGATTCATAATATGACCCTCACCTCTTTTGATACGCCTATAAATTCCTTTCTTATGCCCTAGTAGATATTTGAGCCTATTATTCATCCATTTTGGGTCATTTCTATTTGATCTAATTTCTTTATATGGGATAAGCGTTCTTTGAGCAGAAATGTATAGTGTTCAGAAAACTGTCATATTGATAGCTCACTTCGTTACCCCAGTCAAACAGATGAATAAGTGTTCTCTAAGCCCATCGTAATCTGCTAAGCGAAAATCTGGGGACTGTTACTGAGTTATCGCTACTATCGTACTTCCATTCAATGCTAAATGTAACTGATTTGTGGTCGCTAGCACCCAGTTCCTCTGAAATTTCTAATTATTAACAAGGGATTCATTGTTTGCCATAACTAAGTCAAGCAGGTTATTTCGCCTTGTAGGTTCTGTCACAAACTGCTTTCAAAAACAATCCTGAACTACTTCTAATGAAGTCGTATGATTCTAAATTCCCAGTCAAGAAATTCCAATCAATATGACTAAAGTTAAAGTCTCCTAGAATTACTACATTATCGTGCCTTGTGGCCTTAACAATTTCCTCCCATAGTAGTCTCCCTTGGTCCCTATCTAAGTTTGGGGGACGGTATATCACTCCTAAAATCAGTTTTTCATGCCCCTCTGAAAATTCTATCCAAACAGACTCTGTATGTGTTACTTCAGACTTAATACCCGTTTTTATGAAAACAGTTCAAGCGATGTCGGACATACAATGCCACCCCACCCCCCTTCCCGATATTCTATCTACTTGGAACAATTTAAAACCCTGAATATGACATTCCGCAGGCATGTCCCGATTTTTTTGAATTAAACCACATCTCAGTTAAGGCAAATACATCAATGTTACCTGCACTAGCAACTAATCTCAACTCGTCCATCTTATTCCTAGCACTACGGCAATTAGCATAATAAACATTGAAAGACTCTCCTTTCTCTTTACCCTTCCTGCTCATTTCTGTTTTTCTACTAAACCTATTACTGTCCTTATCACCCAAAGTCCCGCTTTTCAATATCTACCTCGTTCTGCTTATTACTAGTTCCCCTAGAACTCGTAATATTACTACACTGGGACTTCACTGTTTTCCTGCCAAAACCCATACCACTAACTATTCCTAGTTTAAAGTCCTAACTGCTCCCTCCACTGCAGTTTCTAGTGCTACCACCCCAGACCTAGATAAGTGAACCCCATCCCTGGCATACATGTCATTTCTGCCATAGAAGAGGTCCCAGTTGTCAATGAATGTTACTGCATTTTCCTTACAGTATTTGTCCAGCCAGCAATTGACACCAATTGCCCTGGACAATCATTCATTTCCAACTCCTCTCCTTGGCAAAATACCACATATGACAGGGTTCCCACCCTTCCTCCTAATTATTTCTATTGCTGATCTATACCTGCTAATCAGGTCTTCACTCCTACGTCTGCCAACATCGTTGCCTCCAGCACTGAGACAGATAATAGGATTGCTCCCATTACCGCTCATGATGTCATCCAGATGGCTAACAATATCCTCCATCCCAGCCCCAGGAAAGCAAACTCTCTGTCTCCTACTCCTGTCCTTCAAGCAGAACGCCCTATCCATATACCTAACTTGGCTATCCCCAACAACAATATTCTTACCTTCCTTGGTGTCGTTTATCGTGATGTTCCCAGTAGTCGACTCACATTCGTCGGGTAGCACTGAGAATGTATTAGATGTTTCCACAACAGTTTCCACGGCAGTCTCTTTCTTCATCGTTTCTACCTTTCCATTCGTCTTCTTGATCGTCAACTTCGTTCCCTGCTGTCCAGCCACTGACCAGTTTCCCTTCTTGACCTGAGGACTCAAAACAGGAGGACTACGAATCTTCTTGTTTTCCTCGGTCAGCTGCCGAATCTCCATCTTCGCCAACCTCAATTCTTCCTTAAGCTGTTGGTAAAGTTGCTCGATGGAGGGCATCTTGCTTCAATTCATAGAGAGCATGCAAACAGGTCTTCACAGAGCTAAGTACACGTCAACACTGTGCAAAAGCCAACTCAATCAGGAGCTACTGCACAGCACGTCCGCACGGCCCAATAGCGAAAGCTTTAATAGGGGAAGCTTTAAACCCGTAGGTAGTCATACTGCTCTTGGAGGAATTGCAGGAAATCAGTTTTGATCCAAGGAAAGGGAGAAAAACACTTAACCATCATGAAGGAGCCTTCCTTGAAGATAGCAGAGCCTAGTTCTGTCATATACTGTGATATTTCCATTACGATCCTTGACTGATTTCAAATTTGTGTATAGGTTAAGAGTGCAGGCACTATAGTTGTTACTGCCAGGACTCAAGTCCTCCTGACTGGTTTCAAGGTTGTAAGGTTAGGTTAGGTAAGGTTTATTAGAAAAAGGACAGGTATTTCCTGATGAGGACAGATGGAGCTTTTAGTCATCTGACTGAGGCCTTCCGCTGGCTTACCGGTCCACCCCTTTAAAAATTATGGTTTTACATAAGACTGACTGGCGTCAAACAAAACACAGCCTTTATATAACAGAACTCAGTGTGAATGCTTTGAGAAGATACCAGAGCAGCGAACGGACATCCCAGTGCATCGTTTCAGCGTAAATAGTTAAAGTGTTGTGCAGTTTTAGAGGGTTTGGTGTTGTAGAGTCAGGACCAGTCAGCGCCTCCCCCCCTCTCCGCTCGGGGGGAGGGGGAGGGCGTGTGTAGTAAACAGTGACCCCTCTCATAACGCCTCACCCCTGCCCGTCTCCCCTGCCTTACCCACCCAACTCCCAGCGCCACCCCATCTGTAGAGGGTACTTCTCCCCTAACCCACGATGTCAGCGATGGCACTGCAGGGAGTGCCGGGCTCACAGGAACTTCCACTCCAGGGACAGCATCGTGGAGTTCGACCACGAAGCAGCTGCCAGGTGTGCCACAGGCAGTGTGTACTCAGTTCCTCAAGCTTCAACATCCGTGCACACGAGGGCCTGGGATCTTCAATCAACTTGGCGTCCACCAGGACGCTGACATGTCCCTAGGACAGCTCTCCATTCAAATTCAAATTCAAAGTTTATTCTCTATAAGGATTACAATGCTGAGTTTACAGAAATTTGGTTATTGTGTGGTTTACATGTAGTAAAATAGTGATTACAGAGTGTACCACTAGAACGCTTAGCATGGCTAGGCATTTCGGGCAAACTTAGTTTTATTCTTAATTGTAAAATATTACAAATTATGAGGTAAGTTGGTATTATGGCCTGGTAGGTGCCCCGGTGGCCTGGTGGCTAAAGCTCCCGCTTCACACACGGAGGGCCCGGGTTCGATTCCCGGCGGGTGGAAACATTCCGACACGTTTCCTTACACCTGTTGTCCTGTTCACCTAGCAGCAAATAGGTACCTGGGTGTTAGTCGACTGGTGTGGGTCGCATCCTGGGGGACAAGATTAAGGACCCCAATGAAAATAAGTTAGACAGTCCTCGATGACGCACTGACTTTCTTGGGTTATCCTGGGTGGCTAACCCTCCGGGGTTAAAAATCCGAACGAAATCTTATCTCTTATCTTATCTTATCTTATACTAGTTTGTGAGTTTAGCAATGTAAATGCTTTTGTTTTGGCACAGTACATAGTTTCAGTATTGGAGTATCACAAGAGTATCCATCGGGCTGCTAACGGAGTCACTGGCTTCTTGGACCTCTTGGGGAGGGTCGATGGTGCTCGTGCAAGCAGCAGATCCCTGGGCAACTTGCTGCTGTTTGCAATGGCTGTCTACCGAGGAGAGACAGGCACCTAGCAACATCTGTTGTTGGGGCAATGGATGAATTCCCTACTATGTTTGTTAACTGCTCATTACTCTGTAATTTGTCTATGATTGTAATCATGTTATAATGTGTTTATCATTCATTACCTTTGAAACTTGTCATGATTGTGACCAGCTCTACCTGGAGCTCATTCCCTTTGTAACTTGGTCATGATTATGACCAGATCTAGTTCATTACCTTTGTAACTTGCTCAGCTATCAAAACTTTGGAGTCCAGTCCCTGGACCAATTATGTACCTGAAGTTTACCTGGAGAGAGTTCCGGGGGTCAACGCCCCCGCGGCCCGGTCTGTGACCAGGCCTCCTGGTGGATCAGAGCCTGATCAACCAGGCTGTTGCTGCTGGCTGCACGCAAACCAACGTACGAGCCACAGCCCGGCTGGTCAGGAACCGACTTTAGGTGCTTGTCCAGTGCCAGCTTGAAGACTGCCAGGGGTCTGTGGGTAATCCCCCTTATGTATGCTGGGAGGCAGTTGAACAGTCTCGGGCCCCTGACACTTATTGTATGGTCTCTTAACGTGCTAGTGACACCCCTGCTTTTCATTGGGGGGATGTTGCATCGTCTGCCAAGTCTTTTGTGCCTAACAATATTTTATTACATGTAAACTACATTATTTTTGTGAAGCATAAGATAAGTAAAAAATTTAATTTGAATCTTTTAGTAACCTGCTGCCTATTTCAAACATTTACATCATCTGCCACATTGCTTCTCTGTATCTGTATCTAACATGTATCTGAGATACATGATTATATACACCTGGAAAATCCTAGAGGGACTAGTACCGAACTTGCACACGAAAATCACTCACTACGAAAGCAAAAGACTTGGCAGACGATACAACATCCCCCCAATGAAAAGCAGGGGTGTCACTAGCACGTTAAGAGACCATACAATAAGTGTCAGGGGCCCCGAGACTGTTCAACTGCCCGGTGGCCTGGTGGGGGTGGCCCGGTGGCCTGGTGGCTAAAGTTCCCGCTTCACACACGGAGGGCCCGGGTTCGATTCCTGGCGGGTGGAAACATTTCGACACGTTTCCTTACACCTGTTGTCCTGTTCACCTAGCAGCAAATAGGTACCTGGATGTTAGTCGACTGGTGTGGGTCGCATCCTGGGGGACAAGATTAAGGACCCCAATGGAAATAAGTTAGACAGTCCTCGATGACGCACTGACTTTCTTGGATTATCCTGGGTGGCTAACCCTCCGGGGTTAAAAATCCGAACGAAATCTTATCTTATCTTATCTAGCATACATAAGGGGGATTACCAACAGACCCCTGGCAGTCTTCAAGCTGGCACTGGACAAGCACCTAAAGTCGGTTCCTGACCAGCCGGGCTGTGGCTCGTACGCTGGTTTGCGTGCAGCCAGCAGTAATAGCCTGGTTGATCAGGCTCTGATCGACCAGGAGGCCTGGTCACAGACCGGGCCGCGGGGGCGTTGACCCCCGGAACTCTCTCCAGGTAAACTCACCGTATCACATGCCTTCTCTTAATTCATAAGTGGCAAGTAAGTAAGTAAGTAAGTTTATTCAGGTATACACAAATACAGTTACGTATAATTATCATACATAGCAGCATATGTGTAGAGAACCTGGGATAACCCAAAAAAGTCAGACAGAGTGACTTATTTCCATTGGCACAAACAGTTCTTTACTTTTATCTAAGTATTGTTCACTTCTATACTTCAGTATAAACACATCACTCAAGCTTCTTAAATCATAAACATCATCCTTGTTCCTCTCAATAATAATTCTACCATAAACTTTGCCTAGTATACTTAAACTTATTCACTCTGTCTTGACACAGTTTTCCTCACACAAATCAACTACACATGATCTTCCAATCTTTAATTAAGTTATTTTGTCTACTCTAGGTCTAGCAGAACCAGTATTTTTGGGATTTCGAATAAATGGCTGCTTTTGGGTCAGAATAATTGCAAAATATATTATGTTCAATGAAAGCCTCCAGAAATGTGAGTTACTGATTAGTGAATGATAAAGGAGTGCTGGCATGAGAAGGTAGAGGAGAATTATGAAAGGGAACACAAGAGAGAAAGGAAGGAATGTGGAACTAGTACAGTAAATTTAATTTAAGCCTTAGAAATAGTATTAAAGATGTGTTTCATATCACACTGGCTCGTACGTTGGACTGCTTGCGGCCAGCAGTAACAGCCTAGTTGATCAGGCCCTGATGCATCGGGAGGCCTGGCCATGGACCGGGCCGCGGGGGCGTTGATCCCCGGAATAACCTCCAAGTAACCTCCAGGCAACTAGTTGCAACTATTGCGTTAAAAATACACGTGCAAACTTTTTATTTAGACGACGTTGCATTAATCAGTAAGTTTATTTAGGTACAGGTACACGTAACTACAGTTACACAAATTATTATACATAGTAACATGTGTAAATTTTCTAGGATAACCTAAAAAAAAAAGTCAAAGTGCCTTATTTCCATTGAAGTCCTTGTAATATCTTATTATTTGAACAAATATTTCATGTGTAGTGACGTATCACCCTAGATAAATAACTACTAATTAGTCAGTTAGAAGTTATTCCCGCCCATGGGGCTTAGATTACAAGGAATATAACTACTCAAAGTTTGTGCAAGTTCAAGTTACGATAATGAACTAGATCTTCATAATCAGACCACGTACAAATACGATGCTTGGCGCAATGTTGAAGATTCTCGTCCAGTTTGAAGTTGGCGCCTCAATGATCATATATCTTTAACAAGTTTATCTTAAGCTTTTTCCATGTATACTAACTTGGCAAGCTTTTAATATAATTACTATTAAAATATGTAATTATTAAACAATTTAATAAAGTTAGACTTTTAATAATTTATAATTATAGATATACATATTAAGGTTTTCAGTGTTTTGATAAATGTATATTTTAGGGGGGGGGTGAGAGGGAGGGAGATGATGTTGTTGACAGTGCACGTGTAGTTACTGCTGTAGTTGTCTGCTGTCTTGACTCTCTGCCTCTCTCCACACACCTGCAACATGGCCATTCGCTGCCAGTTTGAAGGTTCCAATGAAATAGGAGTATTTGCCAAGCTGACTAATGCCTACTGTCTTACTGGCATCGGAGCTTCGGCAAATTTTTACAGGTAAATTTATTATTGTCTGTCATGTCAAGGCCACACCTTCCCTTGTGCCTCCAGGAATGTGCAAGTGTTTTATTTATTTATTAATTTGAATATGATACAGTGAAGTACAAAATAATACAGTTAAATGCAGCATGCCAAAGTCCCTTGTATACAGAGCATTATGGGCAGCTTAAAATTAACTTAAGATTACCTAAGCAATGATATATTCAGTGGTACAAAAATTATTGTAAAACAGATAACAATTTAGCACAAATGAGTATTACAAAGACAGGTTATATGGTTATTTACTGTGTTGCTGTGTAATCACTAGAATGGAGTATTATGTTAGGTAATGAAGTTCAATAGAAACAAAGTTTGATTGTGTCACAGGTTGACATTTATGAGATACAATTATTCAGTTTTTATTTAGTTGTGGGTGAGTAAGTGATTTTTGAGAAGAGACTTGAATTTATAAACAGACAGTGTTTCTTTTATATTTACAGGTAATGAATTCCAGATTTTAGGGCCTTTTATGTGCATGAGTTTTTGCATAGTGTGAAGATGGACACGAGGAACATCAAAGAGTGATCTGTGCCTTGTGTTATGGTCATGTGTTCTGTTGAGGTTGGTAAGATGTTTGAGGGGAGGGTTTATGTCAGAGTTAAGTGTTCTGTGTGTTTGTAAGTTTATTTAGGTACAGCTACACATAAATACAATTACCCAAATTTAGGTGATAACAATTACCATACATAGTATTGTGTGTAAATTACAAAGTGAAACTTCCATTGTAGGGAAGGATCCCCCCCCCCCGAGATATTGATGCTTCCGCTGTTTTCTCGTATCAGATCTGAATTTCTCTATTTTCCATTCACTGGAAAACCCTTATAGGTTAGCTTTTTTTTCCCCTCCATTAAGTTTTTATTCTGGTTCGACACACAGGAATTTTTAAGTTTTATATAATTTGTGTAAATTAACATAAAGTAACTGAGTCAAATCACACTGTGATACAATAATAATCTTTATTTCTACAAGTACAACGGAGCATTTGGGGTCATTGTTATATTGTTAGACATATAGTATAAGAGCTGTGAATATAATAATGGTATACAATACAAACAAGTTGATAAGCCAGACACTTGCAGCTCTGGTCCTTCCATTGTGAGCCAGAGACACTACCACTGAGCCACAGTGATGATTTCTGCTCAAGAATTTTGCCTTTTATGGTAGTCCTTTCAAATTACTGTAGTCTTTCCTCCAGTATAGTAAATATGAGCTGAGTAATACTTGCTTCTGTCCACTTTATTTAATTACTATACTGTACTTTTGCCTTCTCAATATTTAGTTCAGTGTATTTAAAATTGCTTTCATTGTAGTACAAAAATGATTGGTTTGCACCTTTTCCACAGGCATCTTATTACCATTGTAATAATGTTGGTAGAAATACCGACTATGTAAAGTAAAAGGACACAAGTGCAACTAATGTGACATTAAAAATGTCACATTAGTTGCACTTGTTCCCTTTTGCTTTACATCTTATTACCATTGCAACAATCTTGGCTGGTAAAGCATTAAAATCCTGAGAAACCATAATACGATAATAAATTTAAAATTGGTGTGAATATCAGTTTGAAAGTAACCTGAAATCTCTGTTGCAGTTAGTAAATAGTCACACATGGTCATCGTATGATTAACTAGCACCTTGGGCAGGAAAAACATCCATCTCTTCCCCAAGTTTCCCCTCGAGTTCTCCACCCAAGTAGCATATTTTTCAAACTAACTTCGATGACAGTTCAATGTTTACCTGGAGGGCATTCCAGGGATCAATGCCCCTGCAACTCTGTCCACGACCAGGCTGCCTGGTGGATCAGGGCCTGATCACTGAGGCTGTTACTGCTGGTCGCACATAGTCCAATGTACAAACCACAGCCCGGCTGATCCAGCACCGACTTCAGTTTTGGTGAACCTTTTCCCATTGTAGCAATCAGTTCCCTGTTCTTGGCTGACATGAGTGGAACTCGTTGTGGTTGACTGCTGTTGTATATCATCTACTTTAAAGTTTGACGTGTTGTACTTTCAGATATGCTCTTCTGCATAGGTATCTGTCCAGCTACCTCTTGAAGACAACCAGGGGTCTATTGGTAATGTCCCTTATGGCTGGTGGGAGGCTGTAATAAAGTTGGTAGAATTACCAACAATATGTAAAGTAAAAGGACACAAGTGCAACTAATGTGACATTTATTGTGGCAACGTTTCGCTCTCCAGGAGCTTTATCAAGCCATTACAAACAATACATGGACACAGAGGGTATATAAAGGCTCAGAGTGAGGTGAATACTAGTGAGGTACCATTTCGATGTTCACTAGTGGTAGTAGTAGTAGTAGTAGTGGTAGTGACAAAAGTAATACAATATGGTAGAGCAATTAATTCGTAGATGAGTAAAAGGATATAAAAGCTATTACTTGGGTAACATAAAAATAGGTTGGACAAATATAAACTGGAATGAGGCAGCTTGTTTCAGTGTTCACTCTCTGTGCTTTGTGTAGTATAACAGGAGAGACTATGTGATGGCAGGGTTTACTGTTTTCAGGAGGATTCTTGCTAAGACTTCGGAGATGGTGAAGCTGCCGTTTTGTTTAATTGTAGTCGAAACAGCGATCAGTGCTGATTCAAGGCACTTGCGTGAGCGGAAATTCGTTTCTTTTATCACTAATTGGGCGTCTCTGAATTTCATAAGATGATTGGTGAATTCGGTGTTGTACACAGGCGTTGTTTAAGTTGTCGTTCCTACATGCGTATATTGTGTTCATTGAGGCGGGTGTCGAGGTTTCTTGCTGTTTCACCTACGTAGATCTTGTCACAGCCTCCACAGGGTATAGTGTAAACTCCTGCATTGACTGGTTCGTGGTGCTTGGGTTTTGTCCTGGTTAGATCCTTTATTGAAGTGGTAGAAGCGATGGCGACTCTGGTGTTAGCTTGTGAAAGTACTTTTGAGACGTTTAGTGCAACCTGGCTGTTGGGAAGAATTATAACTTTGTTGGGAGCGGTGTTGATGCGTGGAGAATTGATGATCTGAAGAGCTCTTTTCTTGCAGTCTTTGATGAAAAAAGAAGGAAATTGTAACTCAGTGAATGTTTGGTGAATATAAGTACATTCCTCGTCAAGAAACTCAGGACTACAAATTCGGTATGCTCTTAGGAAAAACCCGATGATGATGCCTCTTTTGGTCTTGGTATCTTGACTGGAATAGAAGTGTGTGAGATCATTTTTATTGGTGGGTTTCCGATAAACTTGAAATCTTAGGTTGTTGTCTACTTTGTGAATGAGGACGTCGAGGAAAGGTAGCTTGTCATTGGACTCTTCTTCTAGTGTAAACTGAATCGCTGGTTCAACTGCAGCTTTATGTGAACCTTCTTCTAATCTTCCTAGAAGATACATCACTGCCCTTAAGGACCTCGCCAACGACCCCAACATTATCGTCACCACCGCCGACAAAGGAGGTGGAGTCGTCATACTCAACACCAGTGACTACAACACTAAAATGATGGACCTTTTGAATGATCAATCTACATACGAACCCATCAGCACTCAACAGTGGGAGACGCTCACCAAAGACTTTCTATACAAAACCAGACAAATACTCAAACGCACTAGAGAAGGGAAGAAACTTCTGTACTTGTTACCAAGCAACCCTAAACCAGCACACATGTATGGTTTACCCAAGACCCATAAACACAATATTCCTCTCAGACCAATCACGTCAGGAATAGGCAGTGCTCCACACAAACTAGCCGGAGTTCTTGCCAAACATCTTTCCTGCCTTCTGGGGACCATCAGCCCCGCTCATCTTAAACACTCAGGCGACCTTCTCACCGCATCTGTAACCTCTCCATCCGTAACAAGAAACTAAGCAGTTTGGATGTGACTTCCCTCTTCACAAAAGTACCTACCAAAAAAGCCATCGAGGTTCTACGACTAAAGTCAACCAGGACCTTAATCTTCCTTTACCTCCGGAGATTTTGTTGACTTGATTGAACTCTGTGTTAACTTCAACTGTTTTTCCTTCAATAACAAGCTCTACAAACAAACCTACGGCATGGGAATGGGGTCCCAATAAGTGCCGTCCTAGCCAACTTGTACATGGAACACCTAGAGTCCGAACACTTCGCCAACACTCATCCCTTCAAGCGTCACTTGGTTACGTTACGTGGACGATGTCCTCGTAATAACTCCAAAACGTTTTGATGTACGGGATCTTCAGGCAAGGCTCAACGCAGTTGAACCAGCGATTCAGTTTACACTAGAAGAAGAGTCCAATGACAAGCTACCTTTCCTCGACGTCCTCATTCACAAAGTAGACAACAACCTAAGATTTCAAGTTTATCGAAACCCACCAATAAAAATGATCTCACACACTTCTATTCCAGTCAAGATACCAAGACCAAAAGAGGCATCATCATCGGGTTTTTCCTAAGAGCATACCGAATTTGTAGTCCTGAGTTTCTTGACGAGGAATGTACTTATATTCACCAAACATTCACTGAGTTACAATTTCCTTCTTTTTTCATCAAAGACTGCAAGAAAAGAGCTCTTCAGATCATCAATTCTCCACGCATCAACACCGCTCCCAACAAAGTTATAATTCGTTCCCAACAGCCAGGTTGCACTAAACGTCTCAAAAGTACTTTCACAAGCTAACACCAGAGTCGCCATCGCTTCTACCACTTCAATAAAGGATCTAACCAGGACAAAACCCAAGCACCACGAACCAGTCAATGCAGGAGTTTTACACTAATACCCTGTGGAGGCTGTGACAAGATCTACGTAGGTGAAACAGCAAGAAACCTCGACACGCACCTCATGAACACATATACGCATGTAGAACGACAACTTAAACAAAACGCCTGTGTACAACACCGAAATTCCACCAATCATCTTATGAAATTCAGAGACGCCCAATTAGTGATAAAAGAAACGAATTTCCGCTCACGCAAGTGCCTTGAATCAGCACTGATCGCTGTTTC